CGAATCGACCCGACATTCTCATTGGGCTTTGGGTCTTCGACAATGCTCTGCTCAAGCTGCGGTTCGTCGCTGCCTTCCGCTGCCGAAATTGTTGGTGCCGGTGGAGCTTGTTGATCGTTATTGCCACCCGTAAACGTGATCAAGATGAAATCAAGAAGCGTCAAGAGCGTCTTACGAGTGACGACAATGTTGATAGTTGATATAACAGCAGTGATATTGGTCTCCACACCCTCATATACTGGCATGAATTCTGGCGACTGTCTATTAATCTTCATGAATTTTACATGAACGAGGCTTCGCCCTGCTTTCAAATCTTCGCTATCTCCAGAAGAAACAATAGACTTGAACTCTCCAGGGGGATTTTCGACAAAGTCTTCGACCGCAACGGAGCCCAACGACACTTCGGCTGCCATATCGTACGTTCTGGTATAAAAGGCAAGACCAAAGCGCTCAGCCACAAGCTCGACAAGAAGGGTGTCGGGTTTGACGCGGTCTGGGTCGCTTCTGTAAAGTGAGCCCTTGAGTGTATCGACTTTGAAGTTAAATTCAAAGCTCCTTTGTTGGATTTTTAGTTGCTGTCCGTCCACTCCGTCCGTCGCGTCTTCAAAGTCGTCTTCGTCGTCGTCGATGTCTTCAAGTATAACAGCACTTTGTGGTTGCATAAATGGGAAAGCAGAGGATTGCCGGCGTTCTCGTTGAGACTTCCTTCGCGATTGTGTAGAATGAGCACTAAGAAGCCGTGGTCGTTGCTGAAGTGTTTGGCTATTCTCAGAGGACGGTTCTGGTTGTTGACTTTGTCCTAATTTCGGAATTGCCACGTCGATAACTTTCATGAGGTTCTTGTATTTCGAGTCAGATACAGTCGCATGCAACATTGGAAGGTGACCAGAAACTCGTAGCTTTGTAAGATTTGGAGCTTTGGGTAAAATTGAGGTTTCAACAACGAAGTCGACATTGATTTTTTCCACGACATGTAGCTGGGAGTCTGCGCTTTTCTTAACCAGTTGCTTCTTGGTCTCTTCGATTGATGGACCAATGAGTACTTGTGTTGATGTGAGATTGACGATAAATTTGTCGTACATTGCGGATTCGAGGCGCTGAAAGTCAGCCTCGCTGTAGGATTGCCGTTGCTTTGACTGGATTTCGTTCATGGTCTTGCTATCTACCAACTGACTGTTGACATGGATATGACCAGCGTCAACAATCAAGCAAGTTGAGTTCGCAGTCGTGATGCTCACGGGCACAATGATGAGCGGGGCCTGTAGATCTAGCTCAGCATTCACAGTTTTGTGCTCTTCAAGGGCAAATTCCAGCCCTGCACGAGTTTGCTCTCTGATCCCCTCAACGGTTGCGCCAGCACTTTCCATCAAAGCTGTGATGGATTCCATGTGCCTCTCTGGCGGCCTGAAGAAATCAACAATGCCAACAACAAAGTTGGGATTCCATACGACTTCGAGAGGTTTTAGTTTTCCGACAATGGCAAAGTCACCCTCGCGTTCTATAGGATTCCGTTCGATCTCGAACTGGAAGAATGGCTCTTCCTTGTCAATTTCCAGCTCCTTCAACGATAGGCTCTTTCGTTTCCCGATCTCAGGGGCATCCTTGACGCGGACAATCTCGGGGTACAGACTGTCCGGGGTCGTTCCATCATTCACACGTAGGCCGCCGAGACTGATATTGGCCAATACGGAATCCTTTCGCTGAAGTGCTTTTGCCTTGAAGACATCGAAGTGAAGACTCAGAAGATCAGAAGGGTGATCATGTGGGCTTTTCTTCAATGTGAAACTGCCTGTGCTCAAAGAGGCCTCAAGACAGAGCTTTACAGCCTCCCTAGGGACGTCTACTTCCTCGGCCAGTGCTTGCTTCTCGTCCCATTCAATCATCTCATACAGTTCCTTTCGCTGCTCCTCAGTCATCTGAGTATTTTCTTCGTTTTGTTCTATCGTGCCCTGAGGTTTCGATCCCCACATCCAAGCCAGCCAGCCTTGCTGTTGTTGTTGCTGCTGGGGCTGCTTCCTCAGGGCTTCCGCGTTTTCTTTTTTGAGCTGATTTCGTGCCAACGATCTCCAGAACCGGAGATCTTCGTATCCCAGCTTGCACTCAAGCTTTCCAAACTCTGCACTTTCTTCTGTCGTGAATTGCTGTTGCTGTTTCTGCTTCTTGAACAGCTCAATGTATCGCTGTCGATCGTCGCGTCTTTCTCGGAAATAGTCCCAGGACCACTTGCGGTTCCTTTCATGTATCTTATTTAGAACAGCATTACCTGCAAAGAGGAGCCAGGCGCGAGGGTCTTCCTTGGGCCGCACACCTTTCGGTTTCAATGACTTGTACTCCTGGTGACGAATGAAGTAATGGAACAAATCCACCATCATCAGCGCATCGCGATATTGATCATCGTCAAGAACGAGACCAATTTCTTCGAAAAGTAGATTGGCTTTGAATTTGGGGGCGTGGATATCACCAGACTTGTCGATTTCGATTTTTGCCTGCCCGTTTACTGGGCGTAAGATGAACTGGTGGTTGGAGGCAAGGGCGTTTGCCTTGCCAACCATGCTCTTGAACTTTTGCACCATCTCGTCGTGCGACAGGGGCTCCTCGCCCGGCGAAGATGCCTCGCGACCGGACCCAAACAGGTCTGAGTCTGTATTCCAGTATACGGCCAAGGCGCCTAGGGTTGCCAGCTTATGTGTTGTGGTGCTGGAGTCCTGAATGAACGTGGGCTTCCATTGTCCATCGGTGCTGACGGCACTGAACTCCTCTAAGGTCAACCCAAGGGCGAAAGGGTGTCCTGGGGCAGAGATTGAATCCTCGTATCGAACGTGAATATTTTTGACGGTAACCTGCAAATTATCGACAACCTTGGTGACCAAACTTTGGGTGAAGCTTTGGCTTTTCTTTTGCTCCTCCTGGCTCATACCTTCTCGGTTTCGTTCCTTGAGTATTTCGGCGCTGTCTAGCTTTTCCAATTTGAGCCTCTGCCTTCTACGTTCCTCCTCCTCGTCGTCGTATTCAGCCTCCTCCTTCGGACTGGCCAGGAGGAAAAGATCTTCGATAAAGACCTTGACGGGGGCGCCACGAAGATTAGACCACGGAATAATCAGCGTAAGCTCTCCCAGATGGCCTTCCACAACGTTAATTGGCAACTTCAACTGGTCAAGAGCCTCACGGCGCAACTCAAGGTTCCGCAGCTTGACATCGCCGGACCAGATACCGACTTTGAGTTGTGTTGGGTCGAAGTTCTTGACATACATGCCCAGGAATCGGTTAAGAAGACCGGCAACCAGTCCTTCCAACATGGTGACGGTGGTGTTGCCGTGCCCCGGGCAGGGTATACCAGGTTGGTGTGGGCGACTTTCTGTTTTCTACAATGGCAACATCGGTAGCTGGAGGCGTACAGCACGAATCATGTGCGTATAGCAACAATCAATTCAAACTCTCTCAGTCGACGGTGGCGGCTGTGTCGTCGGCACGCGTCGTTCGACGTCGTCGGCTGCGATGAGGGGGGCTTCGGTATCGCGGTTTTTTTGTGAGGGGCGCTCACAAGTCCCAAAATTGAAGTCCGCTTCACGTTATCGTTAACAGCAGACAACGGCTGGGGTTTGGGCTGTCGGCACGGGCTGACACGGAAAGCAGATGCTTAGGGGTGTGAATGATGCAGAAATAATGAGAAATAAATTAATAACTTAATAGGACAGGAAATGGAGGAATGAGAACACGGAAGCGTAGCAAGCTGGGCATGTGCTTGGGGCAAAATACGTGCAGGAAACCTGTTCCAGCGGTCCATTGGATGGTGGACACAAGTCCTTGGGCTAATGCGCTGGATGTGACGTAGGCAAGACGGCAGGAGCGACCTGGTGGCTTGCTTGTTGCCAGTTGGGAACTTGCCACAGTCCCTCTGCCCACTGGGCCCGTTGATTTTAACCCGACATGGACCAGCGTCGATGTGGGTGTACCTTCTTCAAGTGCCCAAGGACCAAAGACTCCACCCAGCGAGCGTTGGCGTTCTCTCCCAGCTCTCTCACTGCACACACAGCGCTGCCCAACCTGCCAAGCTTGCTCGAGCCAGCCTGTGCAAATTTCGCTGAACATTACGTCACCACTCAGCTGTTGGCTAACCCCACAAGTACCACCCTGCTTGCATGTGGATGGTCGGAATCATGATGAGTATGCTCTGTCAAATCGTTTCGATATTGTTCAATACATATCCCCTCTGGTGTGTTAAGGCTCTAGTGAGGTTACGAGCCCCATAATGCCCATGCTGATAGCGGGTGACCGTAAGGCGACCCGTTGATCGCGTTAGGATTGTATTGAGTTAGATGTAGTGACTTGTTGGATCTTATCTTATTAGTACTCTTATTATCGCTTAATTTATTAGAAGTTAATGTACCTTTTTAAATTTAGCTTCTTATTGGATATATATCTCTGTAGATACTCGATTGGAGCCTTAACACACCAGAGGGGATAGCGTGTCCTTATAAGTGGATATACGTATCTTGCTAGAGCCTAGATGTCGCCGTTGCAACACCTCGAACAGCACCGCCAAGCTTGTCACACCCTGTGTAACGTAATCTTTAAATGCACTCCGAGTAGAATAGACTCGACTTTTCTCGGAAAGCTCTGGCCATGCCCACAGCCATACTTAGGATCCTAAGCTAAACACAATTATCCATGTGGTATACAACACAAAAGGTTTCCTCGCTTGAAGAGCCATCCCGTCATAAAGTCATTACCAAAACGTCCCAATGTCAATACATCTATGCCCTCCAATCCAGCATCACATATGATTGGAGTGATCATCCAATACTACCCATGTTTCATACTGTCAACCACACAAAAGACTAGGGTATGTCGTTTCAACGCCATCGAAATGCAGTACAAACTTGACAACCAAACATTATATGCAGGCTTTTAAATATACTCTAAAGAGAACATCGGATCTCATCAGCACGACCTGAAATTTGCACCCTTCTTTTCGGTTCTACCGCCAGACAGTCAATAGCTTAGGGTCGAGTAAGGCCTTGTTTAGCCTGCGAATGTGTTAGCATGCCGTAGTAAACCAAGTTCTCATAGTCATGGGGATAATTCTCCACTTACCTTCATTTGTTCGATGCGGGCCTTCAGTTGGCTCGTAACTTCAGCAGCACGTCTCCAGCTCTCAACTCCGCCGCCATTTGTAGGCTGTGGCAATGCAGAAACAGGTCTATCTCGAGTTGCTGGTGCGGTTGGCTCGAGAGACTCGTACGTTGGAGTTGCAGCACTCCTAAAGCCCCTAGCTGGAGAACCACGCCCAGAGGACGCTCCGCTTCCACTACGACGAAGTTCTGGGCTGAGCTTGCTCCTCGGGTACGCCAGCTCTCCATTTTCCTTCTCCTCCGACATGGTACTCGTAAAACTCATTCTATTACGGCTGGTCGACGTAGACCCTGGATCGCGGTAGATACCAACATCGTCGAGCGTCGGTGACGTGACTGCTTGATAATTAGCATAAAACATGAGGGGCTACTACAGACGAGAGAAGGGGTGCGTACCTGGACTTCCCACACCTGATTGTGCTCCCAAACCCTCGGCCCGGCTCAGTGCTCTCTTCAAGCGCTCTAGCTCTCGTCGTAGCCTTTCATTGGCCTGCGCGGTCGCCTCGGCGTCGCTTCGGGCTCGAACAAGCTGTGTTTCCTTGGCCTTGATGCTGAGGACATCTCTAGTATGATCTTCTATGAGGCCAGCATTCTGGTTCTTCAACTCTTGAATCTCAGACATGAACTTATTCCGCTCTTGCCGCATATCGTCGACTTGGCGGGACAGTCTTTCGTTGGCAGCCCGAAGCTCTTCTAACTCCGCACGCTCAACAGCAGTGAGACTACTTGAAGGTGGTGGAGAATCGGCTGTAGGCATAATTGGAGCTGCGGCTGGCTTCGCCAGTGAGCGACCAGCGAGTCCCCGAGACAACCCAGCTCGGGGCTGTGGAGGCGGCGCTGCAGGTTCGTCTTCTGGGGGCATCACAGGCGGGCCTGTGGCCGGACGCCGAGGAGACGCAGTTCCGGGTCCCCCCAGCGTCCGTTTCTGGGGAGCCTTCAACCCAGCTAAGCCTGACGGCTTCGGGGCCCCTAGTTTGCTGCCGGCGGCTGCGAGCTTGGGTGCCGCTGGTGCTACCGCAGAAGGAGTCTCTGCGGGCATAACGGGAGCACCGGCTTTCTTAACAGGCTGCCTCTTTGCACCAAGTGCTTTCTTTGCCGAAGGAGGGGGGGCTTTCGCTGCCGGTGTGGGCTTGGGCTTTTCCTTGGCCTTGACTTCGGCCGTTTCGAAGAATTCTTTAACCTTGGTCTTTCGAATATCGTCAAGGCCGTCCAGATATGGAGTCATGGCTCGTTCGCCGATAATCTTCATCACTGTTCCAAGAATCTCAGCACCGCCATCTCGGAGCGCTGGGCTGCCTTCTGAAAGCAACTTCTTGCCAGATTCGCAAATGGTGGCAATCTCAGGCTTGGCAGGAACTGCTCTGGTAGTCCGTAGGCACCGGATCAAAAATTTCATAGTACCCTCTTTGACTTGTGGATTCTTGTTGCTTAGATAGGCAGTAATATCTTCAAGACAATCAGTTAAGCTTGTCGAGACAAAAACAGCGTCCAGGGCAGCTCCCAGGGCATCTGAAACCGTCGCCTTCTTTTCTTTCAAACGATCCATAATAGGTTGCATAACAACCGCTCGGTACTTGCCATAGCTTTGTCGCAGTCCTCTGGCCAGCTGCTCGATACACTGCGCCGCTTGTGTAACAACCGCAACATTAGCGTCCTTCATGCACTTGGCGAGGCCTCGATTAACTTCGCCGAAATCGCTGTCTTTGATGCGGGGAACGTTTAATGCCTGATATAAGGCCTCAACGGCTTCTTTTCTATCCTTCCACTTTGAGGATGCGAGCATATCGGTAAAGTTGGCGGGGATCTTTTTCGTGATATCCTCGGGCTCAGCAAGCGAAAACGTATCGACCTCGGCTGCTTCCTCCTCATCCTCTACTCCGTCCTCGCCATCATCTGTACCAGCTGGGCCGGACTCTGCGGCAGCTTGTTGGGATCGAAGCAGTCGCTCTTGTTTCGGTGGCGGCTCGGCCTTGATCTTCTCGAATTGAGCCTCAAGGTCAGTCTGTTGGGTTGGCTTGAGGTCACCCCAGAACATGGGCTTCATGGCTTCGCGCAACCATCTGTAAAGTTCCACGGCAAGGTTGGTCGCCTCAGCACGGACATTCTTGTCAGCTGCACCAAATACTTTTGGTAAAGCCTTCAGCACCGGCTTGGGGTCAACTAATTTGCATCCATAATTGTGGATTATGGCTGTTAATGCGTTGAGTGTAGCAGCCACATTCTTGGGGACCTTGTTGGCTAGGCCAGGTAAAACGTCTTCAACCACCGGGCCGGCGGCGTCGAGCTCGATGTAAAGAAGCAAAGCCTCTTGCGCGTTTTGCTTGGTAGCTGCTCTCGTCGACGATAGGCATTTCTCAACCATCGGTGTGATTGTTAGGCCGCGGGTCCGCAGAGCGCAATCGCGTCCGCCGAATTTCAGGAATGCACACAAAGCAATAATAGCCTCTTGTTGTGCGGCGACATTGGAGTCGGTGACAGCAGACTTCCAGAGATTGGGATCGGTGAGGAATGGCCGAAAGCACGGATCGGCCTCGTCCGGTGAAGCAGAAAACTGTTTGGCAGCATCTTCGTATGCTGCTTTCCTTACCTTCCAAACCTATCAACACGAATTAGCTCCCGTCTTACAGACAAGCTAGGAGATAAAACCAATCAAACCTTATGAGTAAATCGGTCAGGAAGCGGCAAGGAGCTAAAGTCCTCCTCTTGATCCGCCATTATCTCAAAGCGTCGGGCGTGGGATTCGTGATGCAGGAGTGGCCGTCTCCCTCGAGGCTTCACTAAACGAACTAACTTGTCGATTAGCACGGATATCCTTCCACGGCGCTGATGCTCATCCATAGCACCCTTTGAATTCGAAATGCTCATTCACGCTCCGAAGGGTCAAGCCGTGCATATCCAGGGGTTGTAAATACTCGCAGAAGCAGAAACTACCTACCAGCAGAAACTGTGGAAACGCCAGCAGATGGCCAATGCTAGTACAATCCAGGTTGTATCGCCAGTACAAACGAAGGAGTAACTCGAAACAAGAACTTGATACAAGCAGGTACTGCGAACAGGCCGTGCGTTCCTGTCGTTGATCGAGAAGAAAACAGCGGGCAAAATGCTCCAAATTTGTGCGTTGGTCGTGACGTCCCAGGCGGGGAGTGTCGGGGTTGCCGCGAACCTTTTGGGAGTTTTGGTCAGCGCCAGCAGAGGAGGCCGCAACTGGTACAGGTCGCAAAAGGGGGACAATTAATAATATGAATCGCAGTTCAGGTAGCGCAGCAGGTCTTTAATTCAAAGTGCGACAGTAGCGACAAGAGTCTGGTAGTTTACGAAGCGATGTTTTGCCTGGTTGGGATGGGGGATCAGACAACTGACTGTGATTCCATGTTCAATGTTGTTTGGCGGGGCCGCGGCAGCACTCAATGTCGGCGCGGATGGCGGTGGGAGAGGATGACTGGGCACCGGGACCCTGGCTACCTGACAAGCCGGGTCGTCCAAGGGGCAACCCGACCCTGATGCCGCATGTCAACAGTGACTGTTGACCCCTGAACAATCAGCACTTGAGGAGTCCAGATGCCCTGGCCAGGCGTTCGGGAGCCAATCAGAGGTGCGCTGGTGCCTGACTCCGTCAGAGGTTCGTCCGGTCGTACAGCTACAGGCTAGTGACCTACCCTAAATCCGAAAATGGCTTGAAATGGCTTGCAATGTCTCGACTCACTACGCACTCGCTGCGCACATGCACTGGTTGAAATCCATCTTGAATAGCAGGTAATGTTTGGCTCGAAAGAATTCTCAACGCTCATTTTGCCTACCGTTGTCCTCGCTGCGGACAGATTTCAGCGCCCTCTCGTAAGTTGAGAGCTCGGATGTTAGCATCCTTTGTTTTCAATGTTCGCTGGCTGCACTTCGAGTCAACCACCCTTGTGGTTGCCCAGTGACGAACCAGCACGACATAAGCTGGATGAATTGCTTGGGGTGCGTTTAAATTTTACTCGGGGTGCGTTCACTAACCAAATTTAGCTAACCGTCCTGCTATTACGCCCCTTAATATATTTTTAGTATAAATGTACGGTAGTTATACT